ACTATATTCAGTTTCCTAATCAGATAAAATTTATTAAGTGCTTTCTTGGTGGTATGCACAATAAACACAAGATACAGAATAAAAATGTTAATGCTAATTGGATATAATGTAGTACATATTCCTTATTTAAAAGTAGCCAAAGAGACAAAGCCTCAGCTTGAGCTAGAAATCAAATCCAAGTCCTTATTTCTAACAACATTAAAGGTGAGAGCTTTTAGTTAATAAAGGCAAGTATTTATTAAGTGGCCCGCATGTACCAGACACTCCTCAAAGTGTTTAATAAAACTACTTTTATGGAGCCAAATTCTATTTTCATGGAAAACTAAGTTTTTAAGGAATTCAAGTACTCTAACAAAGTTTAGTTTTAACTTACCTGATGTTCATGCCATGCAATGGCAGTAACTCATATATTTAGTAATTGTCTACTGATTAAAACATGCTTTCCCTTACAGATTTTTAAGGCATAAGTATTTAATAAACACACAAATTCAATACATGTAGAATCTAACTTAAGTGAATATATTTATATTGTCTAGCGTAAAATAAAAACTATATTTTCATATTTTGTGATTCAAAGTGTCCTAGGACAAGGAAAATGAAGTACCTGAAGGGCCAGTAAAAATTCCGTACTACTCAAAGTATAGTTTGACTGGCTATAGTCATCCCACTCTCAAATGTACTCTTTTCACCTCCCATATTTCAGGGTTTCAAAAGTAGTTCTTTAATAAACATATATTAAATCTTTGGTACCTGATAATGCATATCTGCTAGATTAGTTCAAGAATCTAGAGAACAATAAATTTATTTACACACACACGATATTTTCATGTTGGAATATATTCATGTAGGAGAAAGAAACATTGCTGCTTTCTTTCAAATCACTGACCAAAATGTATACAGAGTATGTGTGTATTTGCATGAATAGAGATAAAGCAAATGTGCCAAGATGTTTAAATGTTGAAGTGCTACTTAGAAATTATAACTTAACAAAGTATGATATAATTATCTTTAAAATAGGCGAGGTGTAGTGGTTCACATCTGTAATCCCAGCACTTTGGGAGGTCGAGATGGGCAGACTGCCTGAGCTCGGGAGTCTGAGATCAGCCTAGGCAACATGGTGAAACCCTGTCTCAAACACAAAAATTAGCTGGGCATGGTGGCACAAGCCTGTAGTTCCAACTACTTGGGAGGCTGAGGTGTGAGGATCGCATGAACCCAGGAGTTCCAGGAGAAAATCTGTTTTAAACATTATTTTTAAAAATCTGTACAAAGATATTAATTCAAATTAAGCTTTGAATTTTTGAAGTAGCTTACTATAAACCAACTCCTAAGAAGATAATAAAGCTGTATGGGTTGAATCCATGCAAGATTCCTAACAACCACACGAAAGAGACAAATTAAGTATACTTTATTTTCCTCATTTACTCTGTCTGAAAAGAACTACTGAAAATAAACTAGAACTTGCCTGTGTAATATGTGAAAGCAAAGAAGCTTTATATACAGAAAATATAAAAACATAGTGGGAGGGATAAGGGTAAAAACACCAGGTATCATAATCTAAATTGACTAAAACAATAACATTTCTAAAAGCTAAAAGGAGGTATCTTCATAATCTAGTCAAAGACTTTTTCGATAGGCCACACAAAAAATCACACTAGCAATAAAGAAAAAACTAGATACACTGGACTACATCAAATACAAGAAATTAAGTCCTCTTGCTTATCTAAAAGCAGCACTGAAGACAGAAAATGGTCCCACCATGCAGTAGGTTGACTATAGTTAACAATAAAATATTGCCATATTTCAAAGCAGCTAGAAGAGATGATTTTGAATGTTCTCACCACAAAGAAATGACAAATGTTTGAGGAGATGGATATGCCAATTACCCTAATTTAATCATTACACGTTGTGTACACGTACAAAAACGTCTCATAAGTATGTACAATTATTATGTGTCAATTAAAAACAAAACAGGGGGAGGCAGAGCAAGGTGGCCAAATAGAAGCCTCCACCAATTGTTTCCCTGCAGGAACACCAAATTGAATAACCACTTGCACAAAAAAGTCCCTTCACAAGAACCAAAAATCAGCTTAGGTATCAACTTGGCCACAGTGGGGTACAGCACCAAGCAGGCTCTTGGGGTTCCCAATTCCAGGTCTTGGTTCTTGGATGGCATTTCTGGACCTGCTCTGGGCCAGAGGGTAGCCCACTGCCCTGAAGGGAGAGTCTCAAGCCTGGCGGCATCCACCACAAGCTGACTGAAGAGCCCTGAGGCCTTGAATCAATATCAGCAGTCACCAGGGAGCATTTGCTGAGGGTCTAGAGTAGTGGTGGCCATGGGGAGGGACTCTTCTGCTTGTGGAATGGGGAGGGAAGAATGCGAAGGACTTTGACTTGTGGCTTAGGTACCAACTAAGCTACAGTAGAACAGAGTACCAGGTAGATTCCTAAGATTTCCAACTCAGGCCCTGGTTCCCACATGGCATCTATGGATCCACCTGAGACAAGGGGGAGCTCACCACCCTGAAGGGAGAGACACAAGCCTGGTTGGCTTCATCACCTGCTGATTATAGAGTTATAGAGCCCTAGGACCTTGAGTGAACATAGGCAGTAGCCAAGTAGTAGTTACTGCAGGTATTGGTGAGACCCAGTGCTGTGCTGGCTTCAGGTCTGACCTAGTGCAGTTCCAGTGGTGGTGGCCACAAGGGTGATTGTGTAACCCCTTCCCCACCTCTCCCTGGTAGCTCAGCACAGAGAGATTCCATTTGTTTGGAAAAAACAGAAGAGAACAAGAGTCTCTGCATGATAATACAGATAATTCTTCCAGATCTTACCCACGATCACCAACGTGGTACCTGTAAGAGTCTGCAAGAGTCATAGTATTACTGGGCTTAGGGTGCCTCCTAATGCAGATATGGCTACAGTGACCAAAAACTTAGATCACAACACCCAAGTCCCTTCGAATACCTGGAAAGACTTCCCAAGAAGGGCAGGTACAAATAACCCCAGACTGCAAAGACTACAATAAATACCTCTCTTCAATACCCAGACACGGACAAACATCCACAAGCATCATGACCATTCGGGAAAACATAACCTCACCAAAGGAACTAAATAAGGTGCCAGGGACCAATCCTGGAGAGACAGAGATACATGACCTTTCAGATGGAGAATTTAAAATAGCTAGTTTGAGGAAAATCAGAGAAATTCAAGATAAAAAAAAAGAAGGGATTCAGCATCCAATCTTAACAAAGAAAATGAAACAAGTACAAAGAATCAAGCAGAAATTCTGGAGTTGAAAAAATGCAACTGACATACTGAAGAATGCATCAGGGTCTCTTTTCAGCAGAAATGTTTAAGCAGAAGAAAGTATCAGTGAGCTTGAAGGCAGGCTATTTGAAAATACAGTCAGAGGAAACAAAAGAGAATGAAAAAGAATAGAGCATGCATATAAGATCTAGAAAATAGCCTCAAAAGAGAGTTATTAGCCTTAAAGAGGAGGGAGAAAGAGAGATAGGGGTAGAAAGCTTACTCAAAGAATAATAATACAGAACTTCCCAAACCTAGAGAAACATATCAATATTCAAGCACAAGAAGGTTTAAGGCTTCAGGTCTAATGCAGCACAGTTCCAAGGATGGTGGCCACAGGGTAATAAGCACACTGAAAAAACACTACTGTAACACTATAATTGCAATGTATTAACTATTCGTATTTTGAGTAGAGAGACTAAAAGAACTGATTGAAAATAACAACTACAATACTTTCCAAGACACAATAATATATAAATAGAAGCAATGAAAAGTTAAAAAGCAGGGGACTAGGTTAAAGTGTAGAGCTTGTATTCATTTTATCTTTGCTTGCTAGTTTGTTAATACAATCACTATTAAGTCATCATCAGTTTAAAAGAATGGGTTAGAGGATATTATTTGCAAGCCTCATGGTAACCTCAAATCAAAAGACATACAACAGGTAGATACCAAAAAAAAAAGCAAGAAATTAAAAACTATCATCAGAGAAAATCATCTTCATTAAAAGAAAACAGGAAGGAAAGAAAGAAAGAAGAGACGACCACAAAACAATCATAAAACAAATAACAAAATGGCAAGAGTATGTCCCTAGATGAACTAAACTGCCTAATGGAAAGATAAGGAATGGCTGAATGGACCAAAAAGCAAAGAAAAAAAACAGGACCCAATGATCTGTTGCCTACAAGAAACACTCTTTACATATAAAGATACACACAGACATACACAGAGAAAACAAAGGCATGGAAACAGATATTCCACGCCAATTAAAAAAAAAAGAAGCAGCAGCACAGTAGTACTTATACTTGTATCAGACAAAATAGATTTCAAGATAAAAACTATAAAAAGGCACAGAGAAGGTCATAATGTGACAATAAAGGGGTCAGTTCAGCAAGAAAATATAAAAATGGTAAATACAGATGCACCAAACATTGGAGTACCCAGACATATAAAGCAGATATTGTTAGAGCTAAAGATAGGATGGAACCCAGTACTGAGACTTCAACACCTCACTTTCAGCATTGGACAGATCATCTGGATAGAAAATCAACAAAGGAAACATCAGATTTAATCTGCACTATAGACCAAATAAACATTTATGGAACATCTCATCCAACAGCTGCAGAATATACATTCTTCTCCTGAGCATGAGGATCATTTTCAAAAACAGACCATATGTTAGACCACAAAGTCAGTCTTGAAAAATTTAAAAAAAAGTAAAAGTACATCATATCTCTATCTTCTCTGACCATAATGAAACAAAACTAGAAATCAATAAGTGGAATTTTTGAAATGATACTAATACCTGGAAATTAAAGAATATGCTCCTAAGTGATCAGTGGATTGAAGAAG